GACAGCACGCAACACGTACCCGGCAGTGCGCAGTACTAGGCAGCAGCACGCACCGCACGACAGCAACACGCACCGCACGACAACAGCACGCTCCTCACGGCAGTAGCACTGCGAGACGCACGCACCGCCCGGCAGCAGCAGTAGGGCGGGGCCCACATGACAGCTCATTAGGGTGGGCCCACACTTATCTTACCACATTAGCTTTGCCCGCCAACTTGCCGCTAGCTACACCATTCCTCATCCCTTATCCTTATCCTTATCTTATCTTAAGTAAGAGTTGTTTTACCATTAGGAGTAGGTAATTAGGAGTTTGAGTTTAATTAGAAATTTCCTTCTGTAATCTCCTATTTTAGGAGCCACGAATTGGAATAAAGGCATTCAGTTTTCCAGTCAAGAAAAGAGTGAGGAGAGTTCGGGTGGTCTCTTAGACAAATCACCCCAAGGGAGAGTTCGGGTGGTCTCTTGGACAAATCACCCATTCAGTTTCCGCAATAGGGTCTTTACGCAAGGGAAGGCGCAAGGGAAAGCAGGGCTTTCTCACCGTGGACTGACCCGTGACGAGATCCTACGCGCGGGACCTTAACAACATTTACAATAAGTCTTATTGTATATGTTATTTATTAAGAGAAAATTCCCGATTAGTACCCAGTACTTTGGGTCTAGTGCCACTTTGGTCCCTGAACTTTAAAATGCAACAATTTAGTACCCAAGCTTTTAAACCGTGTCAATCCAGTACCTACCTCTAATTAGCTGTTAAATGGACTTTGAAAAAGACACAAATTCCCTTTGAGGTTATCTAATTTTCTTTATCAACCATCCAAACATTGACAAAAAATTAATAGTCCTAAATCCTTGCCTCTTTTTTTCAAGAAAGTTGGGGTCCAGAATGCTCACTGAGATGTGAGCCCAACTTTCTTGAATAGAAGAAGCAAGGATTTGGGATTGTTAATTTTTTGTCAACATTTGGATGGTTGATAATAAATGACACTCAAAGGGCATCTGTGTCTTTTTCAAAGGCCACTTAACGGATGGTTAATAGCTGGTTAACAATAGGTATTGGGTTGACACGTTTTGAAAGTTTGGGTACTAAATTGTCACATTTTAAAGTTTGGGGACCAAAGTGGCACTAGGCCCAAAGTACAGGGTACTAACCGAAAATTTTCCCATTTATTAATTGACAAAGCCAGTGATGGGCTGAATCCAAAACTAGAACAATGGAGAACTGCTTTAGAATAAAAAAAATTTAAGATAAGCCAGATTAAAATAAAATATATGTAGTTTGGTGTAGTAACATATTAGTAAAAATGGTGGTAAAATCTGAGGCCTTGTTTGGTTCACGGGTATAGTGGTCAGGAGTTGGAATCGGAATGGGCTTTTCCGATTCCAATTATTTGATTGAG